TATTTCCTAGTGGTGATTCAGTCTCTGATTTCCTCTGGAAGCTCATTTGTAACCTTTGTTGAGAATACTTTGTCCGTAACAGCTTCCTTCTGGACTTTGTATTTAACAGAGTCCCAGCAGAACACAAATGTCCTAGCAATTCATAGAGGCAGGGGTGGATATTGTTGGTAGCTGGGACCTAATCCATTCATTTCTTTAGAGATGAGGGCCAAGACAGTGGAATCAGGCTGGGAGCGCTCGATTTTGAGTATACAAATTATTTCCCTTCTTTTAATATATGCAGAAGCTCAACAATGGAAAAAAAAACAATGAAAAATAAATCCTCAGTGTTTAATATTCAGTGACTTTCATCCCAAAGCACTTTGCAAACCGCCTATCTGAACTGATCTGTCTTCAGTTTCACCATCTGGCCTGCAACTAAATTGAGAGCCCCGCTACAACCACCTTTGTGAAGCCCATTAAGGTCAGCTGATGACAGGCACCATATAAAAGCTAGATGTGATGATTATTTTTCACTGCAAGATGGTGGGCTGGGGTGGTGCAGGCACTAAGGTATATGGTTGATAGCCTAGAGGTCACGAGTCCAAGGCCGTAACACGAGCGCTCATGACGTGGGCTGTCAGATTCCAACACATCTGTGAATTCGGCTAAATACCTTGTCACAAGGACAAGGAAAGAGAGAGCTGGCAGATCGGGGAGCCAATGTCAGTGGGAGTGTCACCCCCGGCTCTTTGGTGCAGGTCCTGTGCTGGGAAGTGTGCAAGGCAGATCCTGCTGTTATACTAAGTTCAGGGAAGGGCTGTCTGTGGCCAAACTCTCATGCCCCCATTGGTGTGGCATCAGTACCGTTAGTTTGTATAGGGCAGTATGTGGGGAGGTAGTATCTGTTTCAGGAGCCCAGGCCTTTGCCTTTGTTCACTCTGGTGCTTAGCACCCACTGCCAGGAGGGTTCTCCTTGATTTCCATGCAACGCTGGGCACGACCTGGCACCAGGTCATGCGGCTTTATTTAGGTAAGTAGGTATGTACAGTGCGAATCTACTAATTTAACGGTGTGCACTACAGGGCCACTTTCCTATTGGTTTGTAGGACTGACTCTATGGTTAGAAAACCAGCATGGTTCAAATGCAGACACGGCTTCCGTGTCATTTGCCGGTCAGATAAGCACACCCTGTCGGCATGGGTGGCTATTCCGTGTTAAAACAGGGTTTCACCAATAAGCAAGGGGGAGGTTTGAAAATGTCAGCTTCATTATTTAACCCATCCAAACTCTGCCCGCTGCTGGCTTTCTTGTCCAGCGGCGTTTTGCAGGAGTCTCTTAGGGTCTGCGCATACTTCATACAGGCAGGTGGCCCCCCGGGAACACTTACATATGTAACTTTCTGTAGGATTGAGCCCTCTGAATATCAAGTAGTCTGGGGGGTGCGGAAAACTCCCTCTGCATTTTTAATTGTGCATTGTTGGGCTCTTAGAAAAAGCACAGCAAAACCTAGCAGGGAGGATGCTTCCACGACTGCCTCAGCATCAGCCTCCCCCCTCCTCTTCCACTGCCTTGAGACGACTCCCCTGGGAGATGTGAAAAACCCTCAAGGGACCTATTTGCTTCTTGGCTCTATGAGCCCCCATAGCAGCTCAGGCGCTAAGCTCCCTCCCACCCAGCGGAACTACAACTCCCAGCATGCACCGCCCGCCAGGCGCATGCTCAGTGAAGGTCAGTTTGAGTGGCAAGTTGTTTGTTACACTGTAACACCAGCTGCTTTCTGCACTCTGGAGCTTTTGCTGCCTTTGAGCTCCCTTAACTCCTTTTGCCTCTGATCCTCTGCTTTGCTCCCTTCTCCCCCCTTCTTCTTTTGCTTGAAATCTCTCTTTAACTTTTACCATCGGTTTTTCTTTCCCATCCCCCCCCCCTTTCCCTTCCCTTCACTGGAGTCTTAAAGGGGGAGAAGAAGAAGAATCCAACATAATAATAATACTACCCCAACCACCCACCTCCCCATTCAGAAAAATAAAAATAAAACCCCAACATAGATGAACTACAAATGAGAAAAAGGAAAAGATGGAGCTGCATATTTTAGAGCACAGGCTTAAAGTAGCCAGCATAGCCAAGGAGAGCATCCAGTTGTTTACCTATGGATTAATCAAACTTGCTTTCCTTTCCTCCAAGACAAGGTAAGTGCCAAATAAATAAGGGAAGCAAAATGCAAGATAAAAGAGGCTGCAAGTGAGATCAGATTCCCTTGGCTAATTCCGTTGCAGAAACCAGGATGGGAAGGGGGCGGGGGTGAGGAGTTGGGGGGGTAGAGGTGGAAAACAACTTTGTTCCTCTCTGCATTTTTCACCCCTTCTTCAGACATTT